TCTCTCTCTCTCTCTCCTCTTCTCTCTCTCTCTCTTTCTCTCTAAAATTTTAACGTACTGTGATTACTAATCGAGCAAATAAACTGCTAATTATTTAAAACGGTGTTATAAACTATTGAAATACATATTATTCTAGACAATGAAATGGCCAACAATACAGCATTCAAACTATAAACTTCAAAAATAACAACATAATTGCCCAACATACATTTGACCCAGGTAAGAAATAGGTGTCGCGTGCTCTCTCCATAGTCTCGTCGAAGTCTTCGCACAATTCAAACTTAAACGGCTTAATAACGACGAGTTTACCCGTATTTGTGGACCACTTCTTGCCGATCGTTGTCTTCAATTTGTTGGACAACTTCTTCTTCTTTTCCATTCGGTATTTGGAAAGCATATGAATTCTGTTTATCACCACTTGAAAGATATCCTCCATATCAGTGGCCACCAGACCTTTGCCCCGCTTCAGCGGGTTGAGCAACTGATATATAAATTCGAATCGTGAGTATGGGACGAGGAAAAATTACAGCGCGTCATAAAAGACAAACTTTCTCAGCCCGTCAAGACTCCTTTCCTTTCTCTCGTTTTACTCGAGTATATACTCGTCGGTCATATACTCGTCCCGGAAGTGGGAGTCGTTGATCACGTCGACGATCACCGCACGCGACACCATTCCCTTCAGCAGGTACTTGGAGCAAATGATGGCGCCGTCAAAAACTCGAGTATATACTCGTCGGTCATATACTCGTCCCGGAAGTGGGAGTCGTTGATCACGTCGACGATCACCGCACGCGACACCATTCCCTTCAGCAGGTACTTGGAGCAAATGATGGCGCCGTCAAAATAGCCCAACACATCACACAAGCGTTGTTTCGGTTCAAGCGTTTTCAGTAGCTTCACGTAATAAGCGGTCACCTCTTTCATAGTGGTCAGTGCGCTCACCTCACGGGTCCAATTCAGACCGATTACCGGGCGGTTAATCTTTTGGGCCAACTCTTCCATCGATGTGAATGACACCAAAATGGGTGGCATAAAGTATATGGGCGTACCCTTTGTCACAGTGTTGAGCGGTGTATGGGTTTTGGTAGGCATAATGAAATTCAGCTTTAGGATGGCGGTTCTGGCCTTTTTGATATCATCCAGGTGCTTTTTGATTTCCCCGACTGCGCCCGTCTCGTAGTCCTTCAATATACCGATGGTTATAGTCTTTACCTGATTTAGCGATACCTTCATATTCCAGTCCCTTTCCAACTCCTGCTGCAACTCAACGGCAAACATGGATTCGATGCCAATCTCGCCGAGAGTCAAGTGGTTGGGTGTGATCTCCGGGTCGATGCCCAGCGCTCGCCACAATTCTCTGATCATACGTTTGCCTCGAGTACTACTTTCTTCCTTTGTTTGATCCACTTTTACCTGTATTTTATTAATTTTGTTAAATAATGGCAAAAATTTGAAATTATGTTATTTACATATGAAGTGACAATCGGTTGTTTAATTGACAATAATTTGTCCAAAACATCGCAACACGAGTTGATTCGCTGTTTTCTCAGTGTTGATAACATTAACAACTGATCCGTCCCTTCAAACACTCCCACATCACCGACGGGTCCGTATTGTATGGCGAGTCCGTGCAGACCATCCCTACGTCTCTCTTCACATATACGCTCACAAATAGAGTTACCAAATGAATAGTTTGATTGACCGCCGTTTCCTTTTCCACAAGTGAGGGATGAAAACACAACAAAATAATCCAACTTATAATCCAATTGTCGGGTCAGTTGATCAAGATTTGTAAAGATCTTGTGTTTTGTATCAATAGATGAGCAAAACGTTTTAAACGTTAACTTTTCTATCAAACAATCATTCAATTCAAGCGCCAAATGAAATACCCCTCCAATGGGTCCCAACTTTAAGGCTTCGCTAATGAGTTGTTTTGTGCCTTCAATTGTGAATCCATTGGCAGTCGAGACAAACCATNAATGAAATACCCCTCCAATGGGTCCCAACTTTAAGGCTTCGCTAATGAGTTGTTTTGTGCCTTCAATTGTGAATCCATTGGCAGTCGAGACAAACCATTCGCTCTCAAAGAACTTGATTTCTTGATATACGCTATGAATGCGATTGTAAATGAATTTCTGATAATCAGTCTTAAGGCCAGAACGGGAAGTGACCACAAATTTTCGGGCGCCATAGTATTGCATCCATGGAATCAATTCTAGACCAAAACCACCCAAACCTCCGGTTATTATATAGACTTTGTTTGGATTGAAGTAAGTCTTAGCGCTGACCAACATTTCGGGCATAGGTTTTACTGCTTTCAAAGGCCCTCTATTTGTCTCCTCGTCTCTGGTTTTGATGACTATCTTTCCCGTGTGTTTACCGGTTGTCATATAACGGAAAGCCTTTTCCGCTTCGGCCGCCGGAAACACATTTTGATTGATTGGTTTCACACAACCATTGGTGCAGTTCTTGTGAACCCAATCGTAAAACTCGGGCAAAAAGTCGTGACAATCAAACATAACGAGATCTAACACTACGCTAATGAAGTCAATGTTGCGCACAAAATCAAACATGCCCAGCTTCTTATTCTGGACCATGTCGAATCTGCCCATCTCCACAAACCGACCATGGTTGGCCACACAACTATAGCTGGCGTCCAGTTTCTCTCCGGCCAATGAATTCAACACAACGTCGACTCCCTTTCCTTCCGTCGCTTCCATTATCTGATTCTTGAAGAGTATATCTCTTGAGTTGAATATCTTATTCTCCGGTATATTGTATTCACTCATCAAAAACTGTTTCTTCTCGTCGTTACCGACCGTCACATATATATCGCATTCATAGTGTTTGCAAATATTGATTGCCGACTGCCCCACACCTCCGGCCGCCGAGTGTATCAAAATGCTTTCACCTGTTATACATCAATGTAATTACTAATCATGTTTACATGTCTTATGTATAACATTATAAATAACCGTAATGTTTAATGATAATGAAATTGCATACAAACCTTTCCTAAGTCTTCCGGCTTTAATCAATCCATAATAAGCTGTACTATAAGTACTTAATATAGAGACGGCATCGTTCATAGACCAGTGGTCAGGGATTTTAGCGTAAGTATGAGTCGCCGCGTATACCGAAGTCGCGAAACAACGGCCCGATTCCATACCCATAACCCGTTCACCCGTTTCGGCCAAACGACCGGCGAATTCACCACCAATTGTACAGTCCATGAATACAACCTCAGGACCCGATGGGATGCGACCTGTATTTATATAGTTATTATAAGTTTATAAAACTATTACCATAACTATTAGTTGCATACCTGTGGCCAACATAACGTCGTGGAACGACAATCCAGTGCTATAAATGTTTATTTTATTTTTGGTCACTTTCTGTCCATTGAAATCATATGATTCGCGTTTTGGTGAAAGAGATCTCAAATCATACCATTGAAGACCTGCGAGATCTCGGGTTTGACCCAAATTTAGGAAATACTCGTTGGAAAGAACTTTATCACTGTCTTTGGGTAGTTTTATGTGTCTATAACTTCCAAGTTTCCCCCCTTTGATAACATTGGCGACCAAATCATTGGCCAATATATTAGAATAGGGTTTAGTAGTGAAGTCAATGTTAGTGTCAGTATTGGAGTCCATATTGAATATATATCTGAAGTTTTCTCCTCCCGGTTCTAATCGCATACTATTAACTAACCCTACGATTCCATTAATACCCAAGTCGTCGGCCATAAGCCATACGTTATTGGTTTGATTGTCCGCATCCTTTGCGGTAATCAACTTTTGCTGCAATACTCCAAACCATTGCTCGTAATCTGTAGTAATTCTTATGACATTACTTTTATCGGGTATTTCCGACTCATTCACCATTTGTCTAAACAATAGGCCAACGCTTCCAATGGTATCATATTTAGTACAAATCAATTTGAGTCCAATTTCATTGCAAATTGTGATAAACTCTTTGATCCGATTCTCGAGAAACACATTATTATAAATCGCTTTTCCGTTTAACGAATTGAACGCAATCTCCNTCGCAGGTCTTCAATGGTATGATTTGAGATCTCTTTCACCAAAACGCGAATCATATGATTTCAACGGTCAGAAAGTGACCAAAAATAAAATCAACATTTATAGTACCGGACTGTCGTTCCACGACGTGATGTTGGCTACAGGTATGCAAATAATAATAACAATAATAGTCTTACAAACTAATAATAACTATATAAATACAGGTCGTATCCCATCGGGTCCTGAGGTTGTATTCATGGACTGTACAATTGGTGGTGAATTTGCCGGTCGTTTGGCCGAAACGGGGGAACGGGTTATGGGTATGGAATCGGGCCGTTGTTTTGCAACATCGGTCTACGCGGCCACTCATACATACAGTAAAATCCCAGACAACTGGTCTATGAACGATGCCGTCTCTATATTAAGTACTTATAGTACAGCTTATTATGGATTGATTAAAGCCGGAAGACTTAGGAAAGGTTTGTAGTTTAATTTCATTAAAATTAAATAAGTTTATAAAGTGATAAACCTAATTAATAATTACTTTGATGTATAACAGGTGAAAGCATTTTGATACACTCGGCGGCCGGAGGTGTGGGGCAGTCGGCTATCAATATCTGTAAACACTATGAATGCGATATATATGTGACGGTCGGTAACGACGAAAAGAAACAGTTTTTGATGAATGAATACAATATACCGGAGAATAAGATATTCAACTCAAGAGATATACTCTTCAAGAATCAGATAATGGAAGCGACGGAAGGAAAGGGAGTCGACGTTGTGTTGAATTACTATAGAGATAGCATTGTTTGAAGTGACGAAAGCGCTGGACATCACACCCGACGGTATAATTGGCCACTCGTTTGGAGAGATAGCCTGTGCTTACGCTGACGGGTGTCTCACCACAAGAGATGCAATGGTCGTCACGTACTTCAGGGGAGCCGTCACTGAAAATGACAAGAATATAACTAAAGGACTGATGGCTATCGTCGGCCTATCAAAAGCTGAGGCCAAGAAAGTAACGCCCGGCGGTTGTTATCTCGCGTGTCATAATTCAAAGTATAATGTGGTCATTTCAGGTAAATTAAATCTTACTATAACTATCTTACTATAAACTTAACGTGTATCAGTATGAAATCGACAAAAAATATTGTACCGAAATTTATAGTTTATATGTAAAGTTTGTTGAGCATATTTAATAGTATGTTACAATGGTCTAGCCCATTACCGTTTAAATTTACACATATGTGTAAACCGTATAGGAATTATACACTATAAATGGGGGGTCGTATATTAAATACAACAGTCTTGGTCTAGTCTATTTGTGTCAAAATTAATAAATCTTAAAAAAGACACATAGGAAAGACTTTTTTCTTTTTGCGGTCTAAAAGAATGACAGTCCTTCTAAAAAATGTTTTGGTCATCCTATATGAAACGTTTTATCATTATTATTAACTTGTAATGAAACTTAAAGTTTAGTTGGTCATTTAAAAGTAAAACATTAAATATAATAATATAATGAGATATTATATTATTACCATGATTTGCCAAAAGTAGGCTTTGCCTAAATGCACCCATAGACATTACATTAGTCCATTACAATAGAGTGGCTCTACAGTGGCTCCTCTGGCATACCATGATTATTACTATATTCGGACATTTACATATATAAATAATTAATTTTGGAATTTTATTTTAAAATTATTTTTAAAATATTAAATTAATTATTAATTCAATTTTTAGGTCCAAAGAAAGAGATGTCAGAAATGATGAAACAATTGGAAGAAAAGGCAGTATTTGTGCGACAGTTAGAGAGCAGTGAAATCCCATATCATTCACAATATCTGATCACATCTGCAAAGCCTATGACTGAAGCCATTAAGAAATATATACCAAACCCGAGACTCCGGTCGCGGAAATGGGTGTCCACTTCACTCATGACTACCGATTCCAGCGATGAGGCATTGAAATACGCTTCGGCCGAGTATTTCGTATACAATCTGATGAATCCCGTGCTCTTCATAGACAAACTCAAAGACCTGCCAACAGATGCTATTATACTAGAGTTGGGTCCGCACTCTATATTCCCTAAAGTGGTGTCCGAAACGCTGGACAACTCGACGTACGTATCATTAATCAAGAGAAACGCAAACGACACTAATTTGGAAACATTTATGGCTGGATTGGCCACTCTATACGAGTCGGGACAGTTAGACAGGTAACTTTTCGATATGGGTCACCAACTCACCGGCCAGCGGGCTTTGTGTGTCAGGTAGTCAAGCGAGTACGCAACCCTAGTGTCGGCCTTCAAACTCGTGGCTGAGATAGGCGTTTAGTACTGTCGACTCACAGCCGGTGATTACAATTTCACTGTCGACGCGTCAATGCATCAATCTCACGCATTCTACCTTGATCACGCCGTCGATGGCAACGTTCTCTTCCCGGCCACCGGCTATTTAATGCTCGCGTGGCGTAAACTGGCTGTCAGTAGGGGTAAGGCGTGGTATCAGTTGCCCGTTATTTTTGAGAACGTTCAGCTCAAACGCGCCGTCTTTTTGAATGATGTCAACAAAACTAACCTCAGAGTCAAATATTTTCCAAACACTGGTATTGTTTGCAAACATTATGTTGAATATAATTATCATTTTTAACACTATTTTTGTATTAATCAAACCCTATCTCCTGTCCACACATTCATTCCATCCCAACTCACAGACGAGTTCTGTGTGTTAGAGAACGATAACGTGTGTGTTGTGGGCAAAGTGCGGACTCCGGACGACGAGGTCTTACTCACGCCTAACGCTATACTCGAGAGACAGAAACTGATGGCCAGTACTCAGTACTCACTCGACAGGAAAGACATCTATAAGGAGTTGGGAGTCCTGGGCCTCGACTACGGACCGCACTTTCAACGCCTGAAACGCATTCAGACCAACGATTTCCGCGAAATTTATGGCATCAATGAATGGGACGGAAATTTTGTGACATATTTGGACGCAATGTTGCAGTCAATGGTATTCGCCGCTCCATTCCGTAAACTAATGGTTCCGGTAATGATTCGGGCCATACGTGTGGATCCGCGTGTGTTCTTCGAGAACGTCCATCAGAACCGAAATGCGGAGCAAACAACTATAGAGGATATAGATATCGAACAGTCGGTTGCGCTGGACGTTGGAAAAGTGATTGGGTGTGAGGCGGTTGAGGTGACCAACTATGGCATGTCAGTAGACGAGGAGGTCCTCAATGACGCCAAAGTGTTGTACGAACAGGAGATGACCCGCAAAAGAGAGCGTTTCTCCGTCTTCTCGGCTGATATGCCGTTTCATTTCAACGCAAAGTCCAAACGACTGGTCGCTCACGGCTTAGAAGTGGAGGACCTGATGGCCTTCCCTATACCCAGACGTACGGACGGCACGGATCTGGTGTTAGACACGTATCAGTTCTTCCCCAATGAAGATCTCGAAGCGGTTGACGCCATTGATAAACGGGTGGCCAATGAGTATATAGAGGTAAGTGAGAGTATGTTTTGTTTGATAGTGGTGAGTTACATTTAATGTGTTTACTTTACTTTTAAACAAACAGGTGTGTAAAGCAATGGCCGCTAAGATTAAACTAATCGGTTATAAAGACATTAAATGCGATTTTAATTACCAAAACATTAGCGATGATGTGATACAAGAGTATAGGACAACAAATAACGAAAATCATGTATTGTTTCGTATATTTGATAAAATACTGACAGAAGTTGTCGACGAAAACAAGAATAAGAAAAACAGTAAAGAAGTGATGAAAGTATTGAAAGATATAGAAAGCGGTGCCGAATATGATCTCAACAAAGAATTGATAAAATACTGACAGAAGTTGTCGACGAAAACAAGAATATGAAAAACAGTAAAGAAGTGATGAAAGTATTGAAAGATATAGAAAGCGGTGCCGAATATGATCTCAACAAAGATCTGATTAATCAAATCCAGAAGAATGAGCACATGATTAGAACTATGGTTGATATTGTAAGCGAAAACTTTGTGACAATTAAAGAGATAAAAGTGACTGAAATTAATCTCTCGTCCGGTATTTTGGCCAAAGAAGTGGATCAGATTATGTCACTCTTTCGTATTATACCATACGATGTCGACTATAAACTTGTAGTTAAATCAAAACATCATTGCATTGATATGTATAAGAATAGGGCCACAGAATGGGACCCGAAAGACGATATATCCCTAAAGCCCTCGCATTTGGTTATAATGAGAGACTCACAAGATTTGTGGCAAAAGGATATGCAATCATTTGTTCAGGACATCTATGATTGCCTTCTAACCAATGGATTCCTATTATCGGTCTTCAGATATAAGTTTACGGAACCGGAGATTGCGTTCAATTTGTTGACCGGAAAAGCGATTTATAATAATCTGTTTCTCGTAAAGAGAATCAATAAGTTTATCACAATTTGCAATGAAATTGGAATCAAATTGATTTGCACTAAATATGATACCATCGGAAACGTTGGCCTATTGTTTAGACAACTGGTGAATGAGCCCGAAATACCCGATAAAAGTAATGTCATTAAAGTTACTACAGATTACGAGAAATGGTTTGAAGTATTGCAGCAGAAGTTGATTACCGCAAAAGAAGCGGACAATCAAACCGATAACGTATGGCTTATGGCCGACGGTATTAACGGAATCGTCGGATTAGTCAATTGCATGCGATTAGAACCGGGAGGAGAAAACTTCAGATATATATTTAATATGGATTCCAATACTGACACTAACATTGACTTCAATACTAAACCCTATTCTGATATATTGGCCAACGATTTGGTAGCAAATGTTATCAAAGGGGGAAAACTGGGAACTTATAGACACATAAAACTACCCAAAGATAGTGATAAAGTGCTTTCCAACGAGTATTTCCTAAACTTGGGCCAAACTCGAGATCTCGCAGGTCTTCAATGGTATGATTTGAGATCTCTTTCACCAAAACGCGAATCATATGATTTCAACGGTCAGAAAGTGACCAAAAATAAAATCAACATTTATAGTACCGGACTGTCGTTCCACGACGT